CTCCTTGCTTCAAATTGTTGTATCACTTGCTTGATAATGGTGTTAGTACCTACACCGAAACGTCGCACTCATTGCAATAAAGAAGCTGACTATCCATAGAAATCAGTTTTCCTTGAACTTGGTGTAGCTGCAGCCTAATTAAGAAACAATATACTATGATACCCATCAAAAGTTTAGACACCTAAAGCACTCACTATGTTATTCATATATATTACATGAAAGATGAATTTCTCCACTAACTTGGGGGGGGACCAACTGCAAACTTTATGCAGATGATTTGTACGAAGATCATGCATCAAATTGCTAAAAGGCATGTTCAAATATTGTTCATGTGAACAGCTGCGTTTTGGTGTAAAGTTTTGTTAAGAATTCGCCATTTTACACTGAGTTTCATCATTTACTGAACTCATGACAATAATCTTTTCAACGTTACAAATCTGTTTTACAATACATTAGTTCATGTATAAACAGTACCTTTAAACTGAATGGAATATTTTGCAAAATCAAGTTCAGAACAGTTGACTGAAGTGGCTACATTTCCACTAGTGAGTCTAAACTTTTGATGGGGAGTATATATGTCATGTCTTGTATCAAATGTGTGAATTAAGGGACAAAACTATGTCCCTGTTTTAGAAAAATTACTTCTAAGAGAAGCTCTAGTGACAGATATCACCTACAAGCTGTCGACAGAGGGCGCCATTCCAGGAACTATCCTAAAGCTCAAGTCCAATAAAATGTCGTCTAGTATAGCATGTGTGAGATCAGTTTAACCTAGTCCATATAACTAATGCTTCAGGTCTCACTTCGTAAGCTAGAAAGAATTGACACAGGCTGTATACAGGTAATAAACAAGTGTAGAAGTGAGCAAAGCTCACATACCCCCGCTTCCCACTTTGGGACATGGAAATGACTGATATTGATATATATAATGTCACAAGGATCAGCAGCTCACAAGACTTTCTCTTTGACTCTACTAAACTTTATATAAATGTTAGATAATAGTTTTGGCATGTACTGATTACGGTAATAATTTATGGAAACTAGATTTTTTTGTGTTTTCCGTGGAAACCTGACATGTAATTGAACTTGAGTGTGTCATGTTGCACACAATGGACGTAGATGAAGATTGCTATTTTTTTTAGCACATGGCATATCTGTGGGTCATGATTAACTTGTGTATTAAGTTTGGTGAACCTAGCATGTATAGTTGCGATGATATGCCGTGGTCAGGTCACCATCAAATACATTTTGCATGTACCTAGCATGAACCTAGCATGAACCTAGCATGTAAACTTTAAGAGATATGCTCTGGACAAAATAATCAAACATATTTGGCACTAAGTCATGTTTCCATGGAAACAGCAAAAAATACAATTCATATCTGGATGTAAACCCCAAAAGGCACATTTAGGGATCATGCTTGATATGTGTACCAAGTTTGATGAAGCTAGCATGTATAGTTTGGAAGATCTGCTCCGGACAAGATGACATCCTCATAGTCACAGCCTAAATCATGTTTCCATGGAAACAGCAAAAAAACTAAATTCTGAAAAAAAATTAAAATAGCAAAAGGCACATAAATGGGTAATGATTACTATGTGTGTGAAGTTTGGTGAACCTAGCATGTAAACTTTAAGAGATATGCTCCGGACAAAGTTTCGGGACGGACGGACGGACGGACAGAATGAACGCTATATACCCCCGTTACTTCGTAGCGGGGGTATAAATAATGAAAGTTGACACACACACAGTTATATCTACAACATATTTACCGACACCCTGAACGTGTCACCTGCTGAAATGAGGTGACTTCAACACTGATTACAACAAGTCACATCATATCTCACCATATCAAGCTTGTACATACTAGACTGATTATACTGTTCTACAGTAAACCCAAACAGGTAAAAGTCATGATGACCCAGTCATGCTCTTTTCACAGGTATGTCTTTGTGGGATCGATTTTCTCAAGAGCTGCACAGTAATTGAATATGCTGAGCTAACAAATTGACATGGGTGAAGAGATTGGGAGATCACTATGTACTGAACAATGTGAGTCTTAGAATTACCGGTAACTGGAATGATATCTCACCATATACAATACATGTACTAAGAAACACTAACAGGTAAATCAGTTCTGACATATTTCGTTAAGAAACCCTATGCAGTTGAAGTCCATGACAATTTTGTCTTCAATGACACCATGACTTTTTAAGATCCATATGACAGATGTCAGCTGTTACAATCTATGAAGTAGTGAGATGAAACGGTTATAGGTGCTAAAATGTTTGAAATCTGTTCTATTTGATGTAAAATATGCAGGGGTGTTGAAGCATATTACAACATACCTGTGTCAGGTCCAAAAATAAACTCAGGACAATGATACTGGTATTCCCATGTTTATTTTTATCCCTGACAATGACATCACGTACATGGTTCATGATACTGTGAGGTCACAGTGACCTGCCAATCATTCGACTATTCCAGGAATAAGCAAGTGGCCTGGGACACAGTGACATCATAACTCGATGAGGATGTTACAATGAAGTACTGATCAATGAGCGAGATGGGTTTAATGTCACTATTAGACTTATTCCAAATAGCACACAGGTTGGTCAGACTAGCCACAAAATACTCGTTCAAAATTTCCTTATGCCTAAAAGGACTGGGTGCCCTTTTCTTGCTTGTAAGGAAAGTTGTCTTTTTCAAAATTATTAGCTATTTCATAAAGGAAGCCAAGAAAACAGGAACATCAACTTTGTGAACATTTGTGTGGGGTGTGGGTGTGGGTGGAAGAGACACAAGAAATGGGCTTCACACATTGTACCCATGTGGGGAATCGAACGTGAGTCTTCAGCGTGACAAGACAACATTTAGCCACTAGGCTACCCCACGGCCTCTCATATAAACAAGAATATCCCTTTAGAAGAAGCACTCACCATTTCTTGAGGTATAAATAAACATATGGCACTCAAAAAGAAGCAGTGTATCTTACAAGACATTACGTTATAACTTGGTGGCGATCTTTTATGCAATAAATTCTCTCTATACGTATACATAAAGACTGGTGAACTGAAATTGCACTTCTTGTCATGGACATAGTTACTGACTGACTGACTAAGTTTGGTTTTACGCCGCATTTAGCAATATTCCAGCAACATCACGGCGGGGAACACCAGAAATGGACATAGTTATCATATACATGTACAGTCATTAGCTCATGGACTTACTTTTACCGGTATGGGTGTTGCTGACATTCACAATTGATTTCTGGCTTGTGACTTGATCACAACATGTGATGACATCACTCTTGCTTGGAGCTTGGATGTCCTCTCACTGATAATTTCCACGGTAATTTGTAAACACATGGACAAGTGGGAAAATGTTTATGCCATAAAGTTTTGCTACATTCATGTACAAAATTCTTTTGATACTAAATCCATGCACCATCAATACTTCTTAGTCATAGCTGAAACAGATGTGGCTTCAATGCCTGGTCCTAGAATAAACAGAGATGCCAACCCTATTTGGGGCCTAAGTGTAATACTGGAGGTCAAAAAGTGTAATTTGGACCTAAAAAGTGTAATACTTAAAACACTTACTTAGTGAAAGATGATAACTTTATAAAAATTACTTTTAAAAAAGATAGGAAAGATTCTAGACAGAAATACGCGTGACCAATCATTATGAAGTTCCATACATTGAAAATTGTTGGTCAGGTGACACAAAATACTTTAAATTCCTTACAAGTTAATTGGAATGAGCACAATGCTAAGAGTAAGCGATTCCTATCGGTGTAAGGCCATTTCTGAACCCCTGCACTACTGCATTACGGAAAAAATTCCTGTGAAATTTTATCCACTTTATTGATTTTCGCAAAACGAGTAGAAAAAACAAATAAACAAAAATTATAAGCCAAACGTTAAATCAATCAAAGCAATATTCTTGGGTTTACTTCCCTCAAATTTTAATCTAAGGGCAATTATACTGTACATGGCAATGCCACCTAATACATTCAATAATGATGACGCTTTCTATGGTTATCAGGTATCATACTCTTTACATATCTCAACATAAACTTCATGAAAGAAAGACACGTGAAGATGTTAAGCAATAGATGAGGCATAGTCAACACTTACATGAAAAACATGCACAAAATATCTTTGAGATGACCCCTTGTGCCTGTAGGCAGCACGTGCATTTCATGCCAGGTGAGTCGACGGGTCCGTGTCATGCCATGGCTGGCTGAGCCTAATCTAATTGCCATTTATAGTCTGATCTATAGTTTTCAGCAGCTATTCGTATTTTTTTCTAAGTTTTGCCTGATTTTACGAGTAAACATGCTTTTCTGGATATTCTATTACGCATCCCACTGAATTCCAAGTTAGGCCGAAGTGGGTTATTTCGACATTTGCTGTTTGCAGTTGTGTAAATTTTAGGGATACCGGTACAGAGTAACAGCCTAAAAACAGTTTTTTTCTATTTCCCACAGTACTTTAGTACTAAAGAAATTGCTAATTGAAAAACATTCAAGGGAAGTCTTGAAAGTCTATGAAGAAAATCCAGTGAACCGTTCTTAAAATATCTTGCTGACAATTCAGGTTAACATGCTGAAATCTTCAAAGTGTCGTTGTGACCCTAAAAATTATGTGAAGGTCACCAAACTTGGCTGGGCGTTGGGCCTTGGTGTCAAATATGAAGAAAATCCAGTGAATAGTTTTGGCGATATCTTGCTGACAATCTTAACATGCAATTTAACATGCTGAAATCTTCAAAGTGTCTCTGTGACCTTGAAAATTAAGTGAAGGTCACCAAAATCGACTGGGCCCTGCACCTTCCCTGGATGAAGCTTGGTGTCAAATATGAAGAAACTCCAGTGAACGGTTCTTGAGATAGCTTAACATGCAGGTTTACATCCTGAAAAGTGTCGCCATGACCTTGAAAATTATGTAATGGTCACCAAAATCGACTGGGCCCTCGCCTTCCCTAGATAAAGCCTTGTATTGAATATGAAGACAATCCAGGGAACGGTTCGTGAGATAGCTTAACATGCAGGTTAACATGCTGAAATCTTCAAAGTGTTGCTATGACCTTGAAAATTATGTTAAGGTCACCAAAATCGACTGGGCCCTGCGCTTTCCCTAGATAAAGCTTGGTATTGAATATTTAGAAAATCCAGTTAACGGTTCTTGAGATAGCTTAACATCTAGGTAAAACGTTAAAGTCCCCTTGTGACCTTGAAATGAAGGTCACGGTCACCAAACCTGACTTGGACCTTTCTTATACTGTGATGAACCTTGGTACCAAATATGAAAAGAAACGGTAGTTAAGATATTCCAATTCGTACGGACGGACAGAGCCTAATGCTATATCCCCCGCTTCTCGCTAAATGCGCGGCGGGGGGATAAGAAGTATGGGACCAGTGTATTTTTATTACTGCAGACCAAAGATGCTTGTTATCACAAGAAACATCTTTTGTTCTCCAACTGCGACCACAGCGATAATCCTTGCACGCATCACTTGCTGTGTTTTTACGAGTCGCCTTCCCGCTTCAAGCCGTTCAAACCTAATCACTGCATTTACATTTACATTTATATACATTTATATAGCGCTAATATCCAGTCTTTAGAAGACTGCTAAAGAGCGCTGCTGAACTCCGTATGCAATGCTGAACAAATGAGTTTTTAATCTGGATTTGAAAGTACTGAATGTCTGTACTGATCGAAGAGAGAGGGGTAATTTGTTCCACAAAGCTGGGCCGGCAACCTGAAAAGACCTTTCACCAAATGTCTTGGTCCGGCTGACTACAGTCTGGCACATGTGTTGTTGTGATGACCTCATATGGCGTGTTGGTTGATATTCTTGCACAAGGTCTGAGAGATAAACTGGTTGTGTGTGCAAGGCTTTGAACATCAATATTTTGTAATGGATACGTTGTCGGATCGGTAACCAGTGTAATGTGATCAGAACAGGTGTTATATGCTCTGTCTTCTTTGTGCGTGTCACAACTCGGGCAGCTGAGTTCTGGACTCTCTGTAACTTGCTCAGAAGATATTCTGGAATCCCCTGCAGCAGAGCATTGCAATAGTCCAACCGAGATACTACATATGCTTGCATCAATGTTGCAGCAGTTTGCTGGTTGATGTACTTCCTGATTAAGCCTATGTTGCGGATGAAATAGTAGGCATTCTTGCACATTTTATTGTCGTGCTTTTCAAGGCTAATAGTGCTGTCAAATATCACCCCAAGATTGCGAGCATGATCAGTGGGTTCAATGATACACTCATTAATTATGAGTGTTATTGAAGACAACCTTTGTCGTGTTGAACTTGAACAGAGAATGAGCATTTCTGTTTTGTCTTGATTCAGCTTCAGGAAATGTCTGGTTATCCATTTTTGGATATCAGCAATACAATTTTGAATTGCCGAACATGCTGCATCGCAGGATGACGACTGCAGAGGCTTGAAACCTAGGTAGAGTTGGGTATCATCTGCGTACAAGTGAAAAGCAAGGTTGTGTGATCGGGCTATGTCTCCAAGTGGTGATGTATAAATGACAAACAGAATTGGACCGAGGACTGACCCTTGAGGCACTCCAAATTGAAGTTCTTCCTTCTCCGAAATTGTTCCATTAATACACACTGACTGATGTCGGTTTCATAAGTACGACCTGATCCACTTTAACGCTAGACCAGTGACCCTGATCCTACGTTCAAGGATGGAGATTAAGATGCTGTGGTCTACCGTGTCAAACGCGGCGGATAGGTCCAGTAAGACTAGGATGGCTCCTCCTGTAGAATCAACAGCACACAATAAGTCATTCTGCACACGAACTAGCTACGCCTCGGTGCTGTGCCCTTGCCGATATGCAGATTGCATAACTTCAAACAAGCAGTTTGATTCCATGTGCTCTTTGAGTCTTGATGCAACAACACGCTCCATGAGTTTTGAGAAATAATGACAGGTTAGATACTGGCCTGTAGTTCTTCATTATCTCAGAGTCAAGCTGGCTCTTCTTTATGAGAGGACTGACAAGAGCTTCCTTCATTGACAGTGGCACTGATCCTTCTGAGAAAGATGTGTTTATTGTGTGCATCAGGATAGGAGCAACAGAGTCATGGCACTCCTTTTAGGAACCATGTTGGCACGGGTCTAGGGAACATGATTTACCCGGACTCATCTTAATTATCTCACCCCCTTCTTTTTCAGTTGTATCACCGGAAAAGGCCAGTGGGGAAAAGTCATAACAGTCTATATCTTCGCTGTATGCAGGCGAGGTATCAGATTGGAGATTTTCCAAACATGTCCTTATAACTTGAATTTTCTCTTTGAAGTACTTTGCAAACTTGTTTGCGAAGTTCATCCAGTGCATCAAAGGTTGGTAGAACTTTATCTGTTTTCTTGAACTTTCGATAAACCTCTTTAACATTAGGTCCAGGCTCAACAAAATAGCATTCTTGGTTTTCTATCAAACAGGTAACCATATTCCTTTGGATATTGAAAAGCTGTTTGTGAATTGAAAGTCCAGTCCGTCTCATTTGTCGTTCTAGTTTTCTGCGTTTCTGTTTTTCATTGCGTATGTTGTCATTGTACCAAGCGACATTTTGGTGTATTGTAACTTTCTTTGATACCTGTGGTGCATGCTTATCCAAAGTTTCCTTCAATGCCTCATTGTACAGATCAACACTTTCATCAGCGGATCTGTTCCCATGATGTACCAGGGCATTGTCGAGATCTTGTTTGAAGCTAGGCATATTGATAGTTTTCCATCTTCTGAACACCAGTTCTTGTATTTCTCGCCTGGGCAATACAGCTGTTGAAACCACTTTTCACCCCAGTGCTGGGGTGAAATTAGTGAATCGTTTGAACTCTGATTTCGCAGGGTTTTTTTCATGGCATTATTTTTCAACTTTATAAGTTGAATTTACATTTTTGATAATTTGTTACTGTAAGTCCATACTGAAAGGTATCAGAATCTGCAAAGTTGTGTTTTGCGTTGCATGTGACCTTTAAGGTATGCAAGTTATTGTCACCTTAGCACAAAGATCGCTTTGTACAACCACACCATGGACATCATTTTCCATCTTTAAAGATGTTTTCTCAATGAAGGTAAACTATTCTATCAAATATGTTTATCCACATGAGTAGAATACAGGATTTGAAATGCCCCATATACTAGTGTGCCATGGCAAGGTAAATATTGAAATGGCATGGATAAAAATGTTCCTGGTGCCCTTATGGCATGCCTAATTTTTTAGAGACATAGCACACCTTTAGTCATTTAATAACCAAAACAAAACACTTACGCAAATGACAAACAAGCAAAAACATTTATTGACTTTATCGCCCAGGAAATCACTGGAATTTTGATGGTTGATGTAAAGAAATCTGGTTATTTTTCCATTTAGAGTGATGGGAGTACTGATAGTTCGGTTATTGAAGAGGAAATTGTGTATATTAGATATATTGAACAAGTAAACCTGTCACACAATTCTCAGCTATTAAAGGTGTTGGGAAAGCAGAACAAATGAAGCTTAAGAAAGCCATCTTGAACAGAAGACATATCAGTGATAACAGAAAACTGGTTACATTTGTTGTTTACTAACAATAAATTTCAACAGATCATCATCCTTGCTACAGTCATTTATTCTAAAAACATGTGGGCACACTTGATTTCTTAAAGGCATGTTTAAAATATTTTCCGGGTGCCCAAAGGCACACCTAGAAAAAAAGTATTTCTATTTCTGGAATAGTAAAAAATCAAACTGATGTAAGATGTAAGAAATCATCACATCCTGGCCTCCTGTGTGAGAGGTATTCTCTGGGAACAAGAGCAGCAATTTCACTGAAAATCAGTACACATTCCTTTGTTTCATGGTGCAACTGAGTGAGTGAGTGAGTGAGTGAGTGAGTGAGTGAGTGAGTGAGTGAGTGAGTGAGTGAGTGAGTGAGTGAGTGAGTGAGTGAGTGAGTGAGTGAGTGAGTGAGTGAGTGAGTGTGAGTGAGTGTGAGTGAGTGAGTGAGTAGTTTTACGCCGCTTCTAGCAATATTCAAGCAATATCACAGCGGGGAACACCAGAAATGGGCTTTGCACATTGTACCCATGTGGGGAATTCAACCCGGGTCTTAAGCGCGACAAGCGGATGCTTTAACCACTAGGCTACCCCACCACCCCTGGTGCAACATAGTGCATACAAACCTACAAGCACTCATAAAGGTCAAGTTAATGTAAAAGAATGGAAAGGTTTTCCTTACTGTGGGCTGTTTTGCATATCCAGTCTGCGCCAGCTGCAGAGCATCCTGGTACTTGTGTAGAGCCTTGAGAGCCTGCACCTTGCGGTAGTAAGCCTTCAGATTGGTTGGCTGAGTCCTAATAGCTGAAATATTAAACATATTTCCAAGATTATATGTGACGTAACATTAAAATAATGTGACAAATTATGATGACACCATGGTTTATATCTCAGTGTCCGAAAATTAGCCTTTGGTCTGCTGCAAATGCTGATATGCTAGATATTCCCAAATTGTAATATAAAATATCCTAATTCAGCATGTTCATAAATTTTAACACAATATTTAACAGGTGTTTATGTTGACTTGGTTTAATATTAGGGCAGCATTTATATTTTTTTGTGTTTCTCATCGCCCGACCGACTCTTCTAATTTTATTGCCAACAACACACACACCCCCCAACATTTTGCCATTCTAACACTGCTGACCTGAACCTAAAACCTACTGCCTCGCCATATAAATTGTTTATCTTTCTAAAATTATTACCCCTTTCCCCCCACCAAATTCTGAAAAAATTAAACAAAAACATAACCCCTCCCCTATTTGCCAACCAGTTATTAATTCTAAGATCTTAGATAAATCATGGTAAGAAGGGGTAGCAGTGCAGATGTCTAGTGAAAGATGCCCAAAACATACTAGTAACTTTTAAATGCATCCTTCTATTGAAATAAGTTGAACACTATGAGGTCGAAAGTCAAGACTCTTACATACCTGAATCACAGTCAGCCACAGCTTCTTCAAACAGTTCCTATATTAACAGAAAGACGATATTTACTGATCCTGTGCAATTATTTACAGAAACTTTCTACTCCTAATCAAGATTATAGTATGATGAATATCATCGTGCAACCCTTTTGATGAAATATGCTCTAGACTTCCAATCTAATCTACCAAAGTGTCATGACTTGGACATGATTAGTCCAGCATATTTCTTAGCTAAGGCATTCACTCATCATGTTCATAAGACAGGAGATTTAATCGAGTATGGTTACAGTTTGTCCAGACCCTCAAAATATTTTTCAATGCATTTTGTGGATAAGGGCATATAATATATAGGGCAGAATTGTATGGATCGGGTGCAGAGAAAAATACAGTGGAAACCGCCTAAGTAAAGACCGCTTAACTAAACAGACCTGATAAGTAAACACTTTTCTTTGGTCCCGGCAACTTTCTTCATTAATTATCACTATTAGAGTCTGGTTAACTAAACTCGGATAAGTAAACAATACTGCTTAACTAAACGTCTTCTCACGGTCCCTGGAAGTAAATTCCTTAACAAAAGAGACTGGATAACTAAATTAGCAATCACCACATGATCCGACATGAGGGGCAGTCGTGTCAGTCTCCAGCTAAACAAACATCCTACTTACAGCTCGCTGGCGTCAAGCAGTTGACAATACACTGACAACTGGAGGCCAGCCCTGATAAGTTGTTCATTGTTACATATGCATACATATACATGCATATACTAGTGGTTGTCATTTGCAGGTTTTTATAAGTTTGGATAAGTAAAATACCTGATAAGTAAACAATTTTGGCGAGTCCCTTGAGATTTTACTTATCAGGTTTCCACTGTATTTATTTTGCTTCAAAAGTTTACCTTTTTCAAGCAACACAGAGCTCTGTTTGAAAAGAGAGTTGAGATGAAATCCTTTTTGACTTCATAGTAGAACCGCATCTCCAGCATCCGTGCCACGAACAGAGCATTGCGGTAGTGCATCCAGGCCAGGTCATACATGGTCTCTTTGAAGAGGGTGTTGCCCTCATCCTTCAGGTCCTGCATCAGCTGCAGCAGGGCCGGCTACAAGAACCAAAACAACATATTGATACAGTAGGGCCGGCTACAACACTGCTACAGCAGGGCCGACTACAACACTGATACAGCAGGGCCGACTACAACACTGATACAGCAGGGCCGACTACAACACTGATACAGCAGGGCCGACTACAACACTGATACAGCAGGGCCGACTACAACACTGATACAGCAGGGCCGACTACAACACTGATACAGCAGGGCCGACAACTACAACACTGATACAGCAGGGCCGACTACAACACTGATACAGCAGGACCGACAACACTGATACAGCAGGCCGACTCCACACTGATACAGCAGGGCCGACTACAACACTGATACAGCAGGGCCGCTACAAGTTTAGTACAACACTGATACAGCAGGGCCGACTACGACACTGATACAGCAGGGCCGACTACAACACTGATACAGCAGGGCCGACTACAACACTGATACAGCAGGGCCGACTACAACACTGATACAGTAGGGCCGACTACAACACTGATACAGCAGGGCCGACTACAACACTAATACAGCAGGGCCGACTACAACACTGATACAGCAGGGCCGACTACAACACTGATACAGCAGGGCCGACTACAACACTGATACAGCAGGGCCGACTACAACACTGATACAGCAGGGCTGACTACAACACTGATACAGCAGGGACGACTACGACACTGATACAGCAGGGCCGACTACAACACTGATACAGCAGGGCCGACTACGACACTGATACAGCAGGGTCGACTACAACACTGATACAGCAGGGCCGACTACAACACTGATACAGCAGGGCCGACTACGACACTGATACAGCAGGGCCGACTACAACACTGATACAGCAGGGCCGACTACAACACTGATACAGCAGGGCCGACTACAACACTGATACAGCAGGGCCGACTACAACACTGATACAGCAGGGCCGACTACAACACTGATACAGCAGGGCAGCAGGGGCCGACTACAACACTGATACAGCAGGGCCGACTACAACACTGATACAGCAGGGCCGACTACAACACTGATACAGCAGGGCCGACTACAACACTGATACAGCAGGGCTGACTACAACACTGACACTGAACACTGATACAGCAGGGCCGACTACAACACTGATACAGCAGGGCCGACTACAACACTGATACAGCAGGGCCGACTACAAGTTACTGACACTGATACAGCAGGGCTACAACACTGACTACAGCACAACACACTGATACAGTAGGGCCGACTACAACACTGATACAGCAGGGCCGACACTGATACAGCAGGGCCGGCTACAACACTGATACAGCAGGGCCGACTACAACACTGATACAGCAGGGCCGACTACAACACTGATACAGCAGGGCCGACTACAACACTGATACAGCAGGGCCGACTACAACACTGATACAGCAGGGCCGACTACAACACTGATACAGCAGGGCTGACTACAACACTGATACAGCACTACAACACTGATACAGCAGGGCCGGCTACAACACTGATACAGCAGGGGCCGGCTACAACACTGATACAGCAGGGCCGACTACAACACTGATACAGCAGGGCTGACTACGACACTGATACAGCAGGGCCGACTACAACACTGATACAGCAGGGCCGACTACAACACTGATACAGCAGGGCCGACTACAACACTGATACAGTAGGGCCGACTACAACACTGATACAGCAGGGCCGACTACAACACTGATACAGCAGGGCCGACTACGACACTGATACAGCAGGGCCGACTACAACACTGATACAGCAGGGCCGACTACAGCAGGCTGATACACTACAACACTGATACAGCAGGGCCGACTTACAGGGCCGACTACGACACTGATACAGCAGGGCCGACTACGACACTGATACAGCAGGGCCGACTACAACACTGATACAGCAGGGCCGACTACAACACTGATACAGTAGGGCCGACTACAACACTGATACAGCAGGGCCGACTACAACACTGATACAGCAGGGCCGACTACGACACTGATACAGCAGGGCCGACTACAACACTGATACAGCAGGGCCGACTACGACACTGATACAGCAGGGCCGACTACGACACTGATACAGCAGGGCCGACTACAACACTGATACAGCAGGGCCGACTACAACACTGATACAGCAGGACCGACTACGACACTGATACAGCAGGGCCGGCTACAATTACAACAAGGATAAACGGTATGGGAAGTGAGTAAAGATTATTTGAGACATGTAAGGAAGAACCTAAGCTAACACAAGGAAATGTTAACCTGGTCATTGTTTTGTTCAAAAGAAATCCGCATAATAACGACACCAGGAAGAAACACCATTGTTCGTAGTTCAGTGCCACTCTCACCAGTCTCAGCAATATTACAGTCATTGATATTGCAACGGCAATCTACACTTCGGGGGCACAATACACACAATCAGCCAAACCAACGTCCCTAACCACCTGATCCATTTAGTCCCCTGTAAATAATCCAGTCTGGACCAGACAATCCAGTGATCAACATCATGAGTATTGATCTACACAATTGGGAAACTATGACAGTGTCAACCAAGTTGGCGGGCCTATCATCTGATCCCCATGTTAGCTGCCATGTCATGTTTTACAACCAGCACAAGTTGTATGGAATCAAACATAACCCAAGAACCCCCTTTGAGAAATACACTTGGCAAAAACAACCAAAGTCACCAAGCATGCTAAGGAATGAAATGAAATGCTGAATGAAATGTTATAATGTCTGTTTTCTATATCATGCATTATGTATACATTGCCAAAAATATGCAGTACCAATTACAGATTTACCAAATGGAATTAAACACTGCCAAAAAAGGCACAAATGCCTGATTTCAAGATTGTCTCGCCCTACCTTTGTCGTTCGTGGCTCCTTGTCATCACTGAAATAAAGATAAACCGAGTGACTGAGGGAATCAGGTACAATTCAATCAAGGTAATATTAAATGGGTTTAACGTCGCACATGAGAATATTTCGCTCATATGACGATGTACATACGTGTATATGTGTGGCTGCTGGTACTAGCCCAGACTGAAGCTGGTTTTATAGTGCTAGCTCACTGAGATACCATGCCGCAGTGAAGCATGAATACCCCATTCGACACATTATACTGACTCCGAGCCGACCAGTCATTGTTGTACCCATTAATGCCGAGCTCCAGGCAGGGGTGAGGTGAGGTGAAATTGGGTTTTACGTCGTGCTCCAGGCAAAGACCAACAGGTACCATATTATATTTTTGGGTATGACACAACCAGGGAACGAACCCGCAACCTTCCGCTCTCCGGGCAGACACTCTAACAGCGACACCACGGAGATGGTAAAGATAAATTGAGATATAACTATTATAACCTTGTCTTGACCTTAGTATTAACTGGTGCCTGATTCGTTTGCACAGTGTTATGATTGTGTCACGTTTTGTGGTTGGGTTTACGATTACAATCGTTTCCTGAGCTCCAATTATCGATCTACATGTTGTGAACGACAACTGAATGAATGATTAGGGAACTTTACCTTAGGTCCTCCCAAAATGGCTGAATTCTTGCCTTCCTTTGATCTCTGGCCGTACTTTCATCTGGTGGCTTCCCACCATTAGACCACGAGGGGTCCATGGCTGCCCCCTTGCTTGCTGCAAAAATATAAAATATATTGAGGGTTGATCCATCTATTTTCAAAACTCAGTAATATGAACAGAATGTAAATAACACATGAACATCAAGGGGTCCTTGACATAAATTAATGGTAAAGGATTCAGTAGGGTTGCTAGATTTGTATAATACATAGTGGCAATAGTGTTCAGCAAACATCAAGAATGCTCATTGATTTTTAAAACAGTATAAACAGTATATACATTAAACAATGGAACAAATCACTGAATGTAATTTTAGTAGAATTGCATGGTATTACCTGTTACCAGTATATCGCAATACGCTTTTCAAACGATATGCATTGCAATATTTTGTCTGAGAACAGGTACATTGGGCAAAGAGCATATATGAAGTTTCTGTGATTATCTTTATGGTTTAAATTAAAATCTACCCATTTTCATTCGCGACAGATGTTTTCCTTCGTTATTCACTGACAAAATGGCATACTGTAATACTATTTATTGTATGAAAAATAAAACAGAATCCTTGACTATGCAACCTTATTTTGTGATTGCTGTTATCAGAACCATAATATATATGTTAAGAGACTTATAGTGTAGAAAATAGGATTGACATGCACAATTAGTGTCACTCACTGTCAAACACTGAAGTTCCCAATATATCACAACACGGGTTCATGAATCACAATATTATTATTATTATAATAGGATATTTATATAGCGCACATATCCACGCAACTAGTACATGCTCAAGGCGCAGGTTTTTCCCTCGATCATTGGATATCACTCTCAACAGCACATCATATTATCAATCTCAACTCCCTGGGGAGTATACAACTCTTGCAGCCACTAGGCGCACCAAGACTTTCGCATCCTTGTGAGGTACCCACTGTGACAACACTGAAACAGTCTGCACACAAAGTTGACTCCAAGGTTTTTACACTCGGTCACAGGTGGGTTCGATCCCGGGACCTCAAGCTCGCTGGATCACTTGCCTGGTGCCTTAGACAGCTCGCCCACCATGCCCCATATATATATTGCAATACAATTCATTTGCCAATACACAGCCCAAATCTTTAGGCTTATTGTTACGACATCATGTCATTGTCTGAATGCAGCATCTAACCACAATGGAATTTTATATCATGCACTTTCAGCATGTGATGGTCATGCACACTGTAGTCAAATAGTGTTCATCTAATGGGGAACTAAAAATCACAAACAACTGTGCTTAGCAAACACTTAAAAAAGCCTCAGACAGTACATCAAGGAACAAAATTGTGGGTACAACAGAAGTAAGGAAGTCAATATCTTGACATACACGGATGAATAAGTGTACTTTTTTTACTGTGGGACGAGTACCATCAAATGTTGCAATGAGACCTAACTTAACGCCTAGATAAAATCGCCACATGAAAATGACTATGACAACAGACTAAAAACGATAAATAATTGAACACTTCGATATTCTGTGAGCTGTCTGATGCTTCCATATGATAATTCTGGAATTCCCCACATGCAACAGCAGTTGAAAGATCGATTGTCTATTCTATTCTCAAATATGACAGCGAATGAGATTATGAACATAAAACTTCTAATCAAATATACACTCGGACGCAAGATGTGCTACTTTGTTCAACAATAACTGGAAAACTGGTTCAAAGGGAACAGGGTTGTTCAACAGGCACATGGCGGTAACACAAACTAGGTCTAATGTCGTAATGAACTGTAGCTGGGTTTTACCCAAAACTGGCGATTTAAGCGAGTATGACAACTGTTGAGTATGTCCTTTTCCGTGACCGAAACTTCAAAATTTACCTTATTCAGCCAAGCTGGCGGAAATTTATGAAATGATCAAGTTGAAAAGATTAATCGTCGGCACGCAAACATTCGCTGCCGCTTCCAAGAAGAGACATTTCGGGTGAGTGTAAAAGTATGGATCTCGGTGGAGCCAGCCAGCAGCTGAAGTACATTCACTTGAAATAAATGTATAGTTTTGCATAAGGATATCGTAAATACTGAAAACTAAAATACTTCTAAACTAACATGCTTTAAACAAAGTTTGCTTAATTCAAATGCAATATTGATGTATAACATAAATCGTTGTTCGTTTCTGAACATACGGCAAAGCAAGACCGGAACAGGTACTATGACGCAATATTTGACTGAGCTTTTCCATATTGTAACGCAAACGCAAAATTGCACAATCTCGACAGCTGGCGGCTTTGTGGCCCATACACGATGTTTTCAACCTCAAACCTTTAAACCCAAGGGAGGGATTATAGATCAAGCATAAAGGGTTACGATGATAAACTTTGAAATTCGGCATGTTTTCTACATACCATTCAACAAAATTTGAATTTTTAAAACTACGCTCCTAATATGTTACCCGTGAAAATCCGGGTTAGATTTGCCATCACCAACCCGTGCTTGTCGTAAGTGGCGACTAACGGGATCGGGTGGGCAGGCTCGATGACTTGGTTGACACATGTTGCCGTATCCCAATTTGCGTAGATCGATGCTCATGATGTCAATCACTGGAATATCTGGTCCAGGCTATTTTTTGCAAGCCGCCTTCATACCGATCACATTTACAAAAATCATCGCCAACAGCGACTTTATTTTCTTCGCCGCTTAAGAAACATTATATTGACAAAACCACAATGGCCGTTTTTAAAAAATATCAAACCTTTATTCAAAGTGTGTTGACCTACAATTTTCTATGTTGGTATGTGGGTCTGTCTGCTCGCAACAAAAACAAACTTTTCAAAATTGTTAATACTGCCGAAAATTGCAGCAGTGTCTTTCGAGTATATTCCATTCATCTATGAGCGCCAGATTGTCAAAAAGGCAACTAAAATTAGAATAGATAGTTCCCATATTTTATCTCACCATTTTGAACTTCTTCCTTTTGGACGCCGCTTTCGATTACCTTCCCTCAAAGCAAACAGAGCTCGACAGTCTTTCATACCATCCAGTATTCGTGAATGCAACAAATGTTTTGAATGATGATCATGTAATAACTACTAGAATTATTCAGCCTCTTTACCTGTGTGGTTAATTGTATTAAATCATGTCAGTGTTTATTGTGTGTATGTGTGTAACCAGCAATGCTGCATTCATTTTGTGCATGTAATTCTTGTGCATTTTTTGTGAATTGTGTATATATTCATTCCGAGACCGCTTTGATACAAAAAAGAATTTAATAAAGTTATATCTGATCTTATCTCACCTTATGTATTATGTCTGTAATATTGCTGAGTGCAACAACAAACAAACAAAATAATAAATGTTACGACTTAGCTTTAAATTTATAAACACGTGCATTATCAATCGTGGGAATCATGGCGCATTCTACAGGCATGAGCTGCAGAAGTTCAGTTCTAACCCGAGTCTTTAACATGCCCAACTTGGTAGAGTTCCGCCCGTAACCCCGCTTGAAATGTATTCTATATATTACGATTATTTCAAGGGGTTAGGGTTTAGGTTTAGCATTATGTTAGGTTTAGGGCTAGGGTTAGGGTTAGGATAGGCTTTCTATAAAACCCGTCTCTTCTTACTATAAATCTCAGACATAGCATAGATCTAATGAAAAACGGGGGTTACTGGCTGAAATCTTTCCCCGCACTTCGAGAACTAAAATATTATAATAATTATTCAGAATGAGGCATGAGCTGCTGAAGTCCAGTTCTAACCCGGGTCTTCACGGGTCGTTTAACTATGGTGAAAATTCCGAACTTCTGGAACTAAAACATTATATTCAAAATGAGTTGTCCATGGTCAGCAAACAGTGTGTGTGACGTCACAATGGCAATGACGTCATAGGATGGTTCCATGACGACGTTCTAGTCCAAGTTCTCAGTTCTAAGCGCATTGTCTTTGTGCTCAGACGTGCATTTGCTGCCTGTCATACACATCAGACTATTACTGCCGAGGATTGCTGATATTTAATACCTGTGACCTTCATCTGCTGCAAACGAGGTAAGCAAGTCTTTTGAAAACAATAAATGTGTATTTTATCTTACATTTCCTAAATAAAAGCACTTCATTAAACACATCTTGACCTCGTTCGTCGGCTGAGGCATTTCTCGATAGTGGTAAAAACCGAATTTCATATAAAACGTGCCGATATCAATTAGAAATGTATACGGTATTTCTTCAAATTTCGAAGTTCAAAAAGAATATGTATATGTTTTTCTATCAAACAGATGGCTTTGTGCATGGAAGGTCGATTGAAGCAACGAAAACCTCTCTCTCCCATTCTCGAGGCGGCTTCTATCTTGTCTAGCCCAAGATCAAAGGAACAAAACAATGATATACTCGGTAGGTCATCGTTCTATTGGATTTCAAGTCTTTTATTGGTGATTTATTACGAGGGTCAACACGAACATATAAATTGGGAAGGTTTTTGTTAGTCACATAGGTTTACAAAACTATTGTTTGAAGTGGATGCAGAATATTTGTCAACACGCTAAACATCTGAAGAGTGAGTGAGTTTTTACGCCGCGTTTTAGCAATATTCCAGCATTATCACGACAGGGTATATCAGAACTAGGCTTCACACATTGTGCCCATGTGGGGAATCGAACCCGGGTCTTCTGCGTGACGAGCGAACACTTTAACCACTAGGCTACCCCTCCGCCCTAAACATCTCAACAGAATTGCTGTGTTCAAGCCACTGATCATGTCCTGATGTGGAACTTGTTTAACGCTGTTCGTGCTTTTGTTTTCAGCCCAATACATGGACTTAAAAGCTCAAGTTGGAGATATGGAAGAGAGGTAAGCAGAAGCTGAGCGACTAGACCTCTCTTCTCTTTTCCGGTGGCAAAATACCCCAAAAGAGACACAGAAATATACTTTCAGTACTATAGGCTGTCTCGGATAAGAAAATGGTAACTGACCATACATTTTGACAATTAACTGCGCTGTGGGGAGATATTACAAACATAAGTATAAAACTACATATTTAACCATTTGAGAGGCGTTTTGCAATTGAGAATAGTTGTTATCATTGCTTTTACATAATGAAAATACATCTGTTTTGAAGCAATCAATGTCTCTTTCCCCAGCCTTCTTGACCATCTTCTCCAAGAAAACGAGAACCTGCGCCAGGTGAATGAGCAACAGAGCCGCGAACTTCGACATGAACACGAACTGAGACTTAAAGCTGAAAAAGAGAGGGCCGAGTTCAGAGTAGAATATCTAAATTTCAAGCTCAGTTTGACTATGGAGCATGCCGAACTGCAGGAACTGAAACAGACGCTAGAGGAGCTCACAAGTAGCTGGGAGAAGGAGAAACATGAGGAAGCTGAGCAGAAAGAGAAGCTGGAGGAAGAGCTGAAGCAGCTGAAATCCATCCATCAACTTGCAACCCTCCAGCACCAGGCTCTGCCTCTGACCTGCCAAACTCCAGGCAAATCACAGGCCAGTCTCCCAGTCGTAGCTCCTCCAGCCCACCCGAAGAAGGCACATAGACCCTACACTGGAAAGGCCAAAAGCAGAGTTCATTGCAAGATCCAGCCTGCCCAGAACAACAGGAGCACCCCTTCTGCTTGTGGGGACGGTATGAAGAAGACCACGGATGAAAGCAAGGCCAAGGTCACACCTGGGGAAGAACTCAGAACGAAGGACATTAAGAGTGGTCCAAATCTCTCCAAACAGTCACACAGACACTTAAGAAGAGTTCGTCAGATGCATTAAGACATTTAGAGGATGTTGTGTTGTTGTTGTTGAAGAATATTTGCATTGAGTGTGTACATACAAATTCCAATTTTTGTTTGATGACCAGAATCTCTTTATGAGATGGACACTAAATATTTCTGAAGCAAAATTTGGGTCGTCATTAAACTTTGTTCCTGATCAAATATTGTTGTTTGTCTTTGGGAACTGCCGTTAAGATTGTGTATGTAATGATTTTACATGGACGGACTCATCATAATTTCACCGCTGTCTACTGATCATGTAGTGGTACTGCTGAAGTGAGTCTACTGATCATGTAGTGGTACTGGTGAAGTGAGTCTACAGATCATGTAGTGGTACTGCTGAAGTGAGTCTACTGATCATGTAGTGGTACTGGTGAAGTGAGTCTACAGATCATGTAGTGGTACTGGTGAAGTGAGTCTACTGATCATGTAGTGGTACTGCTGAAGTGAGTCTACTGATCATGTAGTGGTACTGCTGAAGTGAGTCTACTGATCATGTAGTGGTACTGGTGAAGTGAGTCTACTGATCATGTAGTGGTACTGGTGAAGTGAGTCTACTGATCATGTAGTGGTACTACTGATCTGAAGTGAGTCTACAGACCAGTGTGAAGTGAGTCTACTGATCATGTAGTGGTACTGGTGAAGTGAGTCTACTGATCATGTAGTGGTACTGCTGAAGTGAGTCCACTGATCATGTAGTGGTACTGCTGAAGTGAGTCTACTGGTGAAGTGAGTCATGATATGTGTGGTACTGCTGAAGTGAAGTGTCTACATGATCATGTAGTGTAGTGGTACTGTCTACTGATCATGTAGTGGTGAAGTGAGTCTACTGATCATGTAGTGGTACTGCTGCTGAAGTGAGTCTACAGATCATGATCATGTAGTGGTACTGCTGAAGTGAGTCTACTGATCATGTAGTGGTACTGCTGAAGTGAGTCTACAGATCATGTAGTGGTACTGCTGAAGTGAGTCCACTGATCATGTAGTGGTACTGCTGAAGTGAGTCTACTGATCATGTAGTGGTACTGCTGAAGTGAGTCTACTGATCATGTAGTGGTACTGCTGAAGTGAGTCTACAGATCATGTAGTGGTACTGCTGAAGTGAGTCTACAGATCATGTAGTGGTACTGCTGAAGTGAGTCCACTGATCATGTAGTGGTACTGCTGAAGTGAGTCTACTGATCATGTAGTGGTACTGCTGAAGTGAGTCTACTGGTGAAGTGATCATGTAGTGGTACTGTAGTGGTACTGAAGTGAGTCTACTGATCATGTAGTGGTACTGCTGAAGTGAGTCTACTGATCATGTAGTGGTACTGCTGAAGTGAGTCTACTGATCATGTAGTGGTACTGGTGAAGTGAGTCTACTGATCATGTAGTGGTACTGGTGAAGTGAGTCTACAGATCATGTAGTGGTACTGGTGAAGTGAGTCTACAGATCATGTAGTGGTACTGGTGAAGTGAGTCTACTGATCGTAGTGATCATGTAGTGGTACTGGTGAAGTGAGTCTACTGATCATGTAGTGGTACTGAGTGAAGGTACTGATCATGTAGTGAGTCTACTGGTGGTACTGGTGAAGTGAGTCTACTGATCATGTAGTGGTACTGCTGAAGTGAGTCTACAGATCATGTAGTGGTAGTCTGATGATCATGATCATGTAGTGGTACTGGTGAAGTGAGTCTACTGATCATGTAGTGGTACTGCTGAAGTGAGTCTACTGATCATGTAGTGGTACTGCTGAAGTGAGTCTACTGATCATGATAGTGGTACTGGTGAAGTGAGTCTACAGATCATGTGGTAGTGAAGTGAGTCTACTGATCATGTAGTGGTACTGCTGAAGTGAGTCTACAGACCATGTAGTGGTACTGGTAAAGTGAGTCTACAGACCATGTAGTGGTACTGGTGAAGTGAGTCTACAGATCATGTAGTGGTACTGGTGAAGTGAGTCTACAGATCATGTAGTGGTATGTAGTGGTACTGTAGTGGTACTGGTGAAGTGAGTCTACAGACCATGTAGTGGTACTGGTGAAGTGAGTCTACAGATCATGTAGTGGTACTGCTGAAGTGAGTCTACTGATCATGTAGTGGTCCTGCTGAAATGAGTCTACTGATCATGTAGTGGTCCTGCTGAAATGAGTCTACTGATAAAATGTAGTGGTACTGCTGAAGTCTACAGTGACAATTTATACCTGGTTTTGCAAGCCGACGTCATATATTATATCTGTAACATTGCTGAGTACAGCAACAAACAAATAATATAATGTTACTACTTTAATAGCTTTACATTTCCACACATAACGGATTGTGCATTATCAATTGCGGGAATATGGCCTTGCGCTGATTAAATGCCTTTCATCTTGCGCTAAAGAGATTCCATTCCTATTTATTGCGAATAATGAAAAGTAGTATATTTCATCTTATTTTATTTTATTTGTAACACAATATTTTCGGGTTAGACTTTCTTGGTAATGAACAAATTCTAGCACTTGTTTTCGTAGACACTTTCGGCATTCGGGACCGCTCTCATGCTAATCCTTCTCGAAATGAAAATACCGTTACAGTCAAATACGGCCATAAGGAGCTCAAAGGGATAACTAATTTAGTTCATTAGAACCGTAGTTATATGCAGTTCGGATTCAAAAACAGTTCGTTACATGCGTAGATTATTGTATGCGATCTTGTATGGAGATACAAAATTGAAACGTTTAAAGGCGCAATGTCACACATTTTTGACAATATTGTGGCCTATATTTTATAACAAATGGGGCATATGCACTCACTTTCGCTACCTAGTGATGCAATAAAAGACTCATCATCCCTTACGACTTGCTTGGAATAAATAATTGAAACTTCGAGGCAACAGCTTTCAAACAGAGAACACTTGCCATATATGGCATGTAAACAATTGCTCCGTGACTAAACGGAAGTCAGTTGTACTTTGCGCGGCTTTTATTCTAGTAATTTTACAGGAAATGCACGATACATGTTATAAAAAATTGAAGCATAGGAAATGTACTGGCCAGGAAATTCCTTTCTCGTCAGGTCAGGAACAATGTTTCAGCAATATTAGGGCTAGAATACTTTTGTCCAGAAACAAAAGAATGGCATCAAATCAGGCACGTTGTTTTGCACCCTTTGGTTTTTTGTTTGTTGTTTAACGTCACACTCAGCAATATTACATCTATATGACGGCGGTCTGTAAATAATTGAAGTCTGGTACAGACAATACGGTGATCAACATAATAAGCGTCGATCTACGCAATTGGGATACGATGACATGTGTCAAGAAAGTAAACGAGCCTGACCACCCGATCCCACCCTAATGACAAACAAGGGTTGCTGAAGACCAATTCTCACCCAGATCTTCACGCTCCGCATACTTTTGTTACTAGTGACGCTTGACGGAAACAAATCTCACTAGCATAATGTTTAGTGTATGGTTTCACATACTTGAATGAGAGTTGAATGAAACCATAGGCGGACCCAGAAATTGTCAAGGGGTGGGGGTGGGTTGCTCCACCATTGCAAAACATTAACTTCAATGTGGTCTTTAGTCATTTTCAAAGGAGGGGGGGTCGAATCCCTGACACCCCCCTGCTCTCTCTCTCTGTCTCTCTCTCTCTCTAGATCCGCCCACTGGAATCCGCATCTCTGTATTAAAACGTGAGAGTTGGGGAATCAGCTCGCTTGGCAATAGGTATGACCATACCAACCCACACACAACACAACACCTGAGTGAATGTGCTAGACAGCCACCCCCTGATTTGTGACTGTCATCCGTATTATAAACCTATGATAGCTGTCGCAGATAATTGCGTTTACAGATAAAACGTACGATAACGTTGTTATTGTGAACTTGAGATTATGTCATTTAGTTTGACCGAAGCATCGATGGCCTGTCGCGAGTATGCCACGAAGGTATATGTGGCACGGGATTTGACCATGGGATATCAACATACAATACCGATAAACGTGATGCACCTTGGTTCTATTAGCTTTAGAGATACTGGTCCCGGATTAAGTCCGATGCTCGTTATCAGTGTGACCCTTGGCAGGTTTAAGATTGACGAACGCGATCAGTAATACTTCCAGTTATCAATAACATACCGTTAAACTTTGGTCAATTTGTCATTCCTTGTCATCGGGTTCCATTAACACCAGCAACAAAGAGCTCAAAACCTCAATCATCAGCTACTCGGACTCAATGACGTCATCAACTGGGAACACATCCTCCCCTATGGCTTCACCAAGGGCCTATTCGATTATGCTAAACCGGTTTTGGTTTCTGGAAAACCATGCACTCGATTATGTCGAAACCTAAAACTGGGTTCTGAAACTTCGAAACCATCTCCGAGGCAGGTTTCGCAGTTTCGGTTTCGCGTTCCCTCACAACAAGCAGGGCGGAAACGATGTTCAGCTGATCTTGGTGGCAAAATAGAGCAGCAGTTTCTGTAACCAAAACAATGATAAAATTCAACTGAGAACTAGGAAAATATTATTTAAAACCCCAGTCTATTGAACATGACTATTTTATGTAACTTGTATACATATAATTGCTTGTTACAGTATAATTCTCCTATACCAACCGTTACGCAACATAACAACACATTTTACAGTGGGACACGCTGTACGCTGCACGGCCGAGATTTATTCATGAGACTGCAACATACATTCATCACATACATCTGATCACAATATCTTGCTGCTGCCCGCCACGTAAAACCAGAGGAAAACAACTCTCTTGGAGAAAATACTCTGGAACCGTGTTCCCTCAACGAATGCAAACAACAACTACCGGAGGGTTTACAGTATACATGTGATCTAGTATATATATCCTTCACCTTAAATACAGTACGCAAGTAACTAAAATAATATACTAAACAAGTATATTTTAAAGGTGCATCACTTAATCAGATCGCTAGGAACCCACAATAAGTACGTTGTACTGACAATAACATGCGTGTACATACAATATTAAAACACAACCTCTCTGTTTACTACAACATCTTTACAGTCCAAACAATATATACCAACTGCGCGTATGACACCTTACAATAGTATTATAACGGCTCTTCAGCCCACAGCAATATACATCATCGTATGACTGCACATACAGCAGCTTACATTAGTATTATAACGGCTCTTCAGCCCACAGCAATATACATCATCGTATGACTGCACATACAGCAGCTTACATTAGTATTATCACGGCTCTTCAGCCCACAGCAATATACATCATCGTATGACTGCACATACAGCAGCTTACATTAGTATTATAACGGCTCTTCAGCCCACAGCAATATACATCATCGTATGACTGCACATACAGCAGCTTATATTAGTATTATAACGGCTCTTCAGCCCACAGCAATATACATCATCGTATGACTGCACATACAGCAGCTTACATTAGTATTATAACGGCTCTTCAGCCCACAGCAATATACATCATCGTATGACTGCACATACAGCAGCTTATATTAGTATTATAACGGCTCTTCAGCCCACAGCAATATACATCATCGTATGACTGCACATACAGCAGCTTACATTAGTATTATAACGGCTCTTCAGCCCACAGCAATATACATCATCGTATGACTGCACATACAGCAGTTTACATTAGTATCGCACTGGCTATGTAACCTAGCAACAGCAACACACCTGGATTACAACAGATCTTAGTCCCACTGCCACAAACCTGAAACATACAACACAAATACTGAACACAAATATGTTTTGCATATAATATGACGTAATGGCCGTGCTTGCACTAGAGCGAGAATGAACAATTCAAATCTTAATACCCTTAAATACCCCTGTTTAGCGCCACCTACTGGCTCAGACTACTCAAAGCTCCACACCACTAGGAGAAAGTAATTTCCTTCTTATTCATCCTTCAGCCGAAAGAAATGACATTTACATATACGCAAATATTTACCTCCAAAAGCATCTCATCTCTTTATTATTTATTCATTCCCTGATAAAATGATAAAAATATATTACCTTCGGCAATGCTGTCATCCAATTCCTTCCACATATATATAGTAGCTGAGACATTTTTGGGTATCCATTTTGAAACCGGATGGTGAAACCATCCACTCGTTTATAAAACTAGAAACTAGTTTCACTTTGAAACCATGTATCCGAAACTAGACACTCGTTTATAACAGGAGAAACCAGTTTCAGAAACCAAAACCAGTTTCGCAATAATCGAACAGGCCCTAAATGAAAACACACCACCTATAAATAGCGTTAGAGGTTTCTTCATCTCACCCGCCTGTAATGAACTGTTCAATAAATATTTAATTTAAAAAGTCACGGGTTCGAATCCCCACATGGGTACATTGTGTGAAACCCATTTCTGGTGTCCCCCGCCTTGATGTTGCTGGAATATTGCTAAAAGCGGCGTAAAACCAAACTAAGTCAGTCAGTTTAAAAAGTCACTCTACCAGTTGTGTTCTCTGTCCATCATGTTGTTACGATAGCATCCTTACTATGTCGGGGAAGGTGGGGTAGCCTAGTGGTTAAAGCGTTCGCTCGTCACGACAAAGAGAAGTGTTCGATTCCTCATGTGAAGTCCATGTATGGTAAATGAGTTTAGATTTACGCCGCTTTAACCAATATGCCAGCAATATCAAGGTGGAGACACCAGAATGCAGTTGAAAATGGAACACTGATCAAACCGGCGTTAAACACACACTCACTCTCTCAAATGCTTCACGTGAGCCAATTTTTTGTGTCCCCCGCCGTGATATTGCTGAAATAATGCTAAAAGCGGCGTAAAACTAAACTCACTCACTCACTCAAATGGTTTACCCGATTTACCTTCTTATACGTGTCCTAATGTAAGAGGAGTGATTGTTGTTTATGCCACAAATGAGTAAAAACCTACCACATATCACGGATGGCAGTGGAGTAGCCTAGTGGTTTCGTAGTTACAATGTGTGAACTCATTTCGGGTGTCCCCGCCAATGATATTGCTGGAATTTTGCTAAAAGCGGCGTAAAACCATACTCACTCAAGTATCACGTTGGCCGGTCGAGTCTGGACAAGATAACCCAGTAGTTGATAGCTTGAGCAGTTACGCACAAAATGACACATACTGTCAAATGTGCTCTAAGACGGCTCTTTAATAAATATGGGATTGTTACGCTATATCTGTCCCAGAATCCCTACTTATAGGAAAAGAAGAATTTAAGCGCAACTCATATCCTAGCAAGCCTTCTACATGTATTTCGTCATCCCTTGCTTAGCCATTTCCCCATGTCAGAGTGACCTTTCAGCATGCCTAGTGGTGCATACAAGCCTGCTTTACATGACAATCAAGTCTGAAAGGTCAAGTGTCAGTGAACGATGAACTTCCAAAGTAGGGGACACTCGGAAATAAGTTACGATTTCCACCATTATAGGAGATGCTAATTTCTAGTCATCTTGTATGTTAATAATGAACGAATGGAGAACATATTACGACCCTTAGTGAAGCATGACAGCAAAAGTTGATTTGTTAGTTTGGTTGTTGCTTAACGCCACGCTCAGCAATATTCCAGCAATGTGGCAGCGGTCTGTAAATGATCGAGTCTGGCCAAGACAGTCCAGTGATCGACAGCATGAGCATCGATCTACGCAAATGGGACACGATGACATGTGTCAACCAAGCCTGCGTGCCTGACCACCGTCAGTCGCCTCTTAAGACAAGCAGGGTTACTGAAGACCAATTCTAACCCGGATCTCCACGGGTTAGATTTTATGACCGCCAGCGATCTTTAAGGTCGATGGGGGAAAGATGGGGGGTTTCAAACTGAACATGTTTTATCAGTAGTGCGTAATACCGCCAAACATTTGTCCACCCGACGATGACGAGACACACGTAGGAGACTCCCAACGGTCATTTGAAGGAGTTTCTTATTTATAACAGGGTTGGTAGGTCAGATGTTTTTGATCCACTAATGTTCTCAAAATAATGACCTTTCCCTGATTTCCCATATTTTGAAAGGCCCTACCCCATATTGAACATGTTTTCACGACCTTCCGTTAAACTTGAACTGCAGTTTACATTTAATGCCCGTCACATATGTGTAATATCTCATTACACTCCCATAGAGACCGTCCTAATTTTGGTGGCCATCCCCAGATTCCCTCTTATCCATTCCTCTTGTAATAAATGACCGGTCTCTAAACTAGTAGTTTATTTCGTCCTGGACTGTATTTTAGTTATGTCATCGAACCTACTTATATCTTCAACCTAATTATATCATCAAACTCGAACGAGTGAGTATGGTTTTACGCCGCTTTTAGCAATATTCCAGAGATATCACGGCGTGGGGCACCAGAAATACGCTTCACATATTGTACCCATGTGGGGAATCGAACCCGGGCCTTCGGTGTGACGAGCGAGCGCTTTAACCACTAGGCTACCCCACCGCCCCTCATCAAACACCCCTTGAAGTAACACATGGCGTAGAGGTCTATCACTTCGTGAGATCACGCGTGAGGTGCCTACAGACCGACAGATCAAGGACCATAGTGGGGAGAAAGTTTGGTTTGGTCTTACGTTCTGCGGATCCTGACACAGCCACGGGACGCAACTACTCACCATTGGACCTAGATGCCAGTGGCGGTTACATATATCCTACAGTCTGGCCGAAATATATGGATTAACAAATTACTTAATATAATTAAAGATTCATTAAATTTTCTGAATTATAGGCCCATGTAATTCAGTAAAACCCCATTAAATCTTTTATTGTATTCTATTTGATATTTCCCGGATTAACTATGATCCATGTATTCCTGTGATCCAATAGACGTTTTCAACTGTAATCGTTCGGAACATGTCATTTCTTAATTGACAGAGTTTCAGTATATGTACTGTGTCGTTTTCCCTCCCCGATTTCTTTTCCCAAGAAAAAGCTGCCCCTGTACTTGCCGAATGCAAGGAAAACACGCATGCTCTTTCAATATATCTCATATACAATCTCAATTTGGATTTTTCAATCAGGTGAACATTGAAGTGTAAAAATATGTCATTTAAGGGGCTGTTCATAATTTATGGCTAGGGGGTGTGATGATCATTTTCATGGAGAAGCAAGTACAATGTGAATGACCCCCCTTAAAAGTTATGTACAAAGTATGTGACCCCCCTGCATGTGATGTACAAAATCAATGACACCTCCCCCACCCAGTTCTAAATTCTGAACGGTCCCTAAGCAGCACAGACGTGCTCGTATTGCATTCTATAAAATATGCATTAATGTTTATTTACATATTTGACTGAGCCGCAGCGAGTGTATAAAATATCTGGTAAAATATCTAATAGAAGGAAATTAGATTCCTCCTTTTGTTTCTAAAAATAAATAAATAAAATATATATTTCTCACTAATTGTGAAAGTTGTTTCGTGAAATTTTAAAATTTAGATCACTTGGTAATAGTTTTAAAATTAATTCATGATTTAGAAGAAGTCGCTTTGCTTCGGGAAAATGTTAATTTAATGTGAAGAAAGATCAAACTGGCCTGTTTTTTTATGAGTGTCAAAGGTAAGAGTATATTGTTTATCAAACCAGGGCATCAATTCAACATACAACGGCGTGGAAACTTGAGATATGAACAATTCATTATTTCACGTCGTAATTAACATTCAAGACGATGGGAAACACAGCCCAAAATACGAACAACAACGAACCCGACAACAAAGTGCAGACATCGTATGCTTGAATGTGTTGTTGCATTTTAATCATAACATCTTTAATCACGTTCTTCGTCAAGCTCATCTCATCTTCCGAGTCGGACAGCTTGACACCGGGTGTCACATACAAGCAGGCGTGCCCTGCCTTCCACTGAAAGTCCGTAGTTGTGTACTGTACACATATCACTTGACACCGGGTGGCACACATGAACAAACGCGCCCTGCTATCGGGTGTCATCCTGCCGGTTTGGATCATCGACCGGGTGGAGGTATATCACTGTAATGAAGATTGAGTACAATTTATCGTACGTTGATTGGATGCATGTACTTCGTGAAATGTGTTCAGAATAGGGTCTAAACATATTTATCTGTGATATTGTAATCTTGGGAACCAATAAAAAGCCCAAGAACACCCCCACCCACCTACCCACAAACACACACAAAAAACCCCCAAAACAAAAAACAACAACCCAAGAACAAACCAAAAACCGACACCCCCCTAAAACAACAACTGTTATACTGGCTCACCAGGTTGGTTGTTGTTTGAGACTGGTTCTGCATATGCATATTCATGATCCTTATGGTAGTCTGAAACGAAACAACAGCCACTATTTAAATGGATTTGAAGGAGCCTGTAAAACAAATGGTTGTGCCCATGTCCGGAATCAAACCGGGTTCTTCAGTGTAACCAGCGAATGCTTTAACCACTAGCCTAACCCACCGCCCCAGTGGGAAAAGAAAGACTGTCGAGTGAGGGGACAGTCGAATAAGAAACTGGATCTTAACACATGTCCAATTATGGCATGTCACGGAATATGTTCTTGTGGGTGTATAAATCAGGTCGTATAGATGTTCATGGAGGATTGGTCCTAATCAAAGACATTTATCAGTCAATGTATTCATTCATTTCAAAACGTCTCTGACATCTTTGTTGCATCTCTTGGATGAAGCATAAGCTTATCCTTATTTAAACCTACCACTCGTTATATATTCCACTATTTCCTCACTTGTTTCAAGTTTTCTGTATTTCATACACATGATGATGACGGTCACAGTGAGAAGAAGGATGATCGCTGCCTCCACAGCAACTGCAGCTATGAAGTCGTCACGGATGGGGCTGTCGCTGAAACAACGAAAGGAAGTACAGGCAACAAACTCTGCGATAGTTGTCTTCCAAATGTGCTCATGCTGCACCAAGCTGGTGACTTAGACAGGTATAGTTTAGTACAATGATGGTTGCAATGACGAACAATCATTTAGTTGTGCAATCAGCGACGTTGTTTCAAAAGTGATCATTCGAGGTTAATTTCTATGTCATATCTTCCCCACGGACGTTCGTAGGAAGATATGACAAGTAACAACACAAGTCTAGAGGAGGAAGAGCATTATGATGACGAACTGGAAAAAGAGACGGAGTCTTTGAATTACATTTAGATGTTATACAAGTATAAGGGTTCTACACATGCTATGGATGTCAACTAAGGTCAGTTGTTTAATGCCGCACTCGGCAATATTCCAGCTATATGGCGGCGTCCTGTAAATAAGCGAGTTTGGACCTGACAATCCAGTGATCAACAACAAGAGTAATGATCTACGCAATTGGGATACGATGACATGTGTGAACCAATTCAGCTAGCCTGACCACCCGATCACGTTGGTCGCCTTTTATGACAAACATGGGTTGCTGAAGACCATTTCTAACCTGAATCTTCACGCGTGTCAACTTATTTGTTGTTCTTTGCGGTGTAATGGACACCACAGACTTACGTAGTTTCCTGTTCTTCATACACACATCTGTCGCACTCATACTGACTGGGGCACTCGGAACTGTACGTCACTTTGGGTTCCAGAACATCCATATTGAATGCTAGTGAGTCGCCAGTAGCTCTGCCCACCTGTGAGTGATCGTTTAAAAGGGGATCTTTAGCCACATCTTTAGTGAGTAAGTGAGTTGGCTTTTACGCCGCTTTTAGCAATATTCTAGCAATATCACGGCGGGGACACCAGAAATGGGCTTCACCAGAAATGCACCCATGTGGGGAATGGAACCCTGACCTTCTGCGAGACAAGCCCCTTTCAACGCTTTAACCACTGGCGGGGACACCGAGAAATACCCCATCGCCCCTTTTCACATCTTGAAACATAGATAACACAAAAACATTGTAACAAGCATTACTGAATTTACTCTAGGGGGTTGATGTCAAGCAGTCAGGGTTTGGCAGAATCATGGTAAATATGACTGACGCCGCTTAAATTCCAGCAATATTCCAGCAATATCACGGCGTGGACATCAGAAATAGTCTTCACACATTGTACCCCTGTGGGGAATCGAACATCGGCGATTGACGAGTCTACTTCGCCGTCCCGACTCAAAGATAAATCCAGGAGCAAGCCATACGTGTTGAAGTGGTAATTCTTTGTCAAGCATATTTCACAACTCTCTATTTGACTGAAATGTCAATTATAGATTGTGACAGTTAAAACACAATAGCACAATTAGAATGAATTCCATATAATCAATTTCGCTTTCTGGATTATATAAAATGAAAATTCACTTCTTTGTATTCCAGGTCATTGGATCCGATGGCTCCTACTATCTGATAGATAACAAAGCCACTTGCGCCATTCCCATCCTCATCAAATACACGATGTTGTTTGCCGTCCCTGAAGACGTCCAGCTCAACATCTTTGGTGTAGCGGATCAGCTCAGTGGTTGAGTATTCTCGACACTTTGTGGCAGCCCCCCAACATACATTTAGAAGGCTGCTTCTGAAACCTCGAACCAAGGCATACAGGGCAGTGGTAGCGAATGGGACCCACGTGTCAATCTGATGGTGACTCGAGAGTAGTGAGGCAGTACATTCCTGTCTGTCCTTTTTCAGAAAACTGTCTGGGAAGTAACAGTTGGCACTTTTCTCCAAAAACGGTCTGAGCCATGGGTTTTCATCAGAAGAACTGCTGATGTTGCGAAAATACTGCTCAAAGTTTGGGTCAACTGGGAGATCCTGAGCCATGGTGAAGCTTCCTTTGAGGTTGTAGTTGCCTTTAATGACGTTGGTCCGTCTTGCCCAGCCCTCTCCAGATCCAAAGAAAATAAATTCTCCCAGTTCAATCTCTTCACTGAGAGCTTTCATCAGAGCTGGTGTAGTGTGTGATCGAGAGAATACAATCACCATTTTGGCTGCCCTAAACTGTCTCAGTTTATACACGATGCCCACATATTCTTTTGGATCAATGTCTTCTTCTACTGGTACGCTTTGGGCAACACAAACCCCTGCCTTCTTGGCCCCTTCGAGGACAGAATCCCGACCAGACTGGCCATATGCCTCATCAGTGTACAAAACTTGGATGTAGCTGGCTCCGACCTTCTTGGCTACTTTCATCATTGGTTGCACTTGGTCATCAAGTGAGGATGCTGTTCTCATGAAAGTTGGGTATGTTTTCCTGTCTTTCAACTTGGAGCTAGTGGATGCATAGGCTATAAATAATTGGTCCAGCTGTTCCATTGTAGATGCCAGTGGAATGCTGATGGAACTTGCTAATGGCCCTATATAGCCAATTACCTTGTCAGTAATCGCTGAACTAAAGACCCCTCCCCCAAGATCAAGTTCCCCTCTATGCAACTTGACAATTTTATCACGAATTATCAAAGGGTTATTGCAAGTGTCCAACACAACCAACCCTATGGATGTGTTTCCAGTAACAGATGCAAATTCTCCAGTTTCGCTGTTCACATCTTTTACAGCAAATACAAGTGCCTCTGCAATGTCTACGCCTGTAGCTGGTCGTAGGGGACCACACTTAAAGACGTTTTGGGAGTCTCCACTACCGGTTTGTTTGTTGTGAATGGGAACAAGAGCAACAACATAATGGTCGCCTTTAATGTGTATGATCTCCTCTGAGGGTTCTTTAACACATTCTGAACAGATGTGACCCTTCTGACAATTACCAGGAACCGGGCCACCTGTATTGCCTGATTTGTCAGAGGACTGGATTTGATCAAAGGACAAATGTAGGGATCCATTATAAGAGCCAACCTGAAATACAAAAAGAAATTATTTTTTTCTCCGACATTTTTTGAATGTATTTATCCACATGAATTTCAGGAAGACGTATGTTTTGTAACCCAACTTAAGATAACAACTTCAGAACAAAATGAAGGATTTAGTCAGAAAACAAGATTTAATATTCTATTCATTATATATTTTTGTTCAATTTGAAACCTTATGCTAATACAGTTTTATGACATTAGTATAGCAATAAACTGTCAGCCATATAATGAGAATTATTATTCTGTTCATCAATAATGACCTACCTTATGAAAGTTAAATTCTGTATCATTCCTCTTGTAGTTATAAACTTCGTACAAGCTCTTCTCAGCCTGCAGGTGTATCTCGCCTTTGATGAAGGAAATGTTTCCTGTCCATGGGAATAAACTAGTCATCAGATCTGAGGGTTCCAATCTGAGCTTTTCGATTTCTGCAATTAATGTTTCCTGTGATACGTCTCTCATGGCATTGCATAGTGTATTCCCTGCACCACATGTCCGACTGATGACGTTCTTTAAGGCCTGTGCCACCACACCAGTGGCCAGAACTGCATAGGAAATGAAGAGAGGTTGTTGTGTGATTTTGTAGCTCTTGGACGAGTCACTCCAACACTTGGTAATGTCGGTTCCTGGAAGTAGATCACAACCAGTCAAAGACTGGAAGTAAAGGGATAACCAACGATTTGTCTGTGCTTCTTCGCGGAATGTTGTTGCATTTTCAAACAGAAAGTTCCAGTAAGAGGTAAATTCAGATATTGGTTCATACACAGGTGTAGGTACAAGAAGTCCCTTTGCTCTATCAAACACATCATTCTGTCCGTTCTGTAGATAGGATGGTTCCAGCGCTACCGCCTCAGACACAATCAACTGGAACTGTTCCATGTATAGATGCTCATCAAAGTACTCTAACACTCGAGTCACAGTTCGTCCTCTCCCGAAGAACACCATTCCCGAAACTGGGCTTGACTTAATGTCTAGCTTTTCTCGCAGTGAAGCAATACTGATTGTAGTGGTGATCATTTCAAACAGTGGAATGCAGATTTCCCGACGTTCAGACTCCTCTTTCAAAGCTGTTGCACCTTCAATGCTATAGGACTCATTCTCGTAGCCAATGGCAACGTAATTCCATTTCAACTGTTGAATGAGCTGCAGCATGACCTGGAATGAAAACATGTAATTTTGAGAAAAAATGTATATGCAAACATGTCGTCAAAATAATTCTAATGTGCATATGTTTATATCCCAATCTACTCCTCTGACTACTGTTTTGCTAGTGTCACTTCATAGTCTTTAAATCTACCTTCTGTCACCGACAGTCAAATACCAATTTCTTATTTAACACTAACACTCGCTATACATTCGTCTGGTTCCTTGTTTTCCAGATGAAGACGTGAAACTCTTCTGTGACCTTGACATTCGATAGGACCTGACATTCTCAAACATTTTGTGTCATTCCCATACATATAAATTGGGAATGAGAGTTTTGGAATTCACTGCATCAATTTTGTTTCCTTTTGAAAGAGATATAAGAACATGAACCAACCTCCATAAACTTTAAGAGCTCACATGAAGATCTCACTGATTCATCTGTTGAAGGAACAACACAAAGTCATGAAACGTCGTTAGATTTTACAAACGAACGTCCCGTCTTCGTGTTCTTCCAATGTGTAATTTCTATTTAAAGAACTCAAATATTTAACTGGATAGGTTTGGCTGGTGAATTCATCGACCCATGAAATGCAATTTTTATCTTAAAAAAAAACAAGGCCAGTATATCATACATAATGGCGTTATGTGTTAGAAGAGTGCCCCATCTGACCTCCACCTGTCTGATTATCAGAGAAACATTCATATACTTTTCATCTCATCTCTGGCGGTGAAGTTTTATGTTTAATAATCTGGAGCAGCATTGAATGGGCCAACAGATATATGTGGGGAATCGAACCCGGGCCTTCGGTGTGACGAGCGAGCGCTTTAACCACTAGGCTACCCCACCGCCCCTCATCAAACACCCCTTGAAGTAACACATGGCGTAGAGGTCTATCACTTCGTGAGATCACGCGTGAGGTGCCTACAGACCGACAGATCAAGGACCATAGTGGGGAGAAAGTTTGGTTTGGTCTTACGTTCTGCGGATCCTGACACAGCCACGGGACGCAACTACTTACCATTGGACCTAGATGCCAGTGGCGGTTACATATATCCTACAGTCTGGCCGAAATATATGGATTAACAAATTACTTAATATAATTAAAGATTCATTAAATTTTCTGAATTATAGGCCCATGTAATCCAGTAAAACCCCATTAAATCTTTTATTGTATTCTATTTGATATTTCCCGGATTAACTATGATCCATGTATTCCTGTGATCCAATAGACGTTTTCAACTGTAATCGTTCGGAATATGTCACTTCTTAATTGACAGAGTTTCAGTATATGTACTGTGTCGTTTTCCCTCCCCGATTTCTTTTCCCAAGAAAAAGCTGCCCCTGTACTTGCCGAATGCAAGGAAAACACGCATGCTCTTTCAATATATCTCATATACAATCTCAATTTGGATTTTTCAATCAGGTGAACATTGAAGTGTAAAAATATGTCATTTAAGGGGCTGTTCATAATTTATGGCTAGGGGGTGTGATGATCATTTTCATGGAGAAGCAAGTACAATGTGAATGACCCCCCTTAAAAGTTATGTACAAAGTATGTGACCCCCCTGCATGTGATGTACAAAATCAATGACACCTCCCCCACCCAGTTCTAAATTCTGAACGGTCCCTAAGCAGCACAGACGTGCTCGTATTGCATTCTATAAAATATGCATTAATGTTTATTTACATATTTGACTGAGCCGCAGCGAGTGTATAAAATATCTGGTAAAATATCTAATAGAAGGAAATTAGATTCCTCCTTTTGTTTCTAAAAATAAATAAATAAAATATATATTTCTCACTAATTGTGAAAGTTGTTTCGTGAAATTTTAAAATTTAGATCACTTGGTAATAGTTTTAAAATTAATTCATGATTTAGAAGAAGTCGCTTTGCTTCGGGAAAATGTTAATTTAATGTGAAGAAAGATCAAACTGGCCTGTTTTTTTATGAGTGTCAAAGGTAAGAGTATATTGTTTATCAAACCAGGGCATCAATTCAACATACAACGGCGTGGAAACTTGAGATATGAACAATTCATTATTTCACGTCGTAATTAACATCAAGACGATGGGAAACACAGCCCAAAATACGAACAACAACGAACCCGACAACAAAGTGCGAGACATCGTATGCTTGAATGTGTTGTTGCATTTTAATCATAACATCTTTAATCACGTTCTTCGTCAAGCTCATCTCATCTTCCGAGTCGGACAGCTTGACACCGGGTGTCACATACAAGCAGGCGTGCCCTGCCTTCCACTGAAAGTCCGTAGTTGTGTACTGTACACATATCACTTGACACCGGGTGGCACACATGAACAAACGCGCCCTGCTATCGGGTGTCATCCTGCCGGTTTGGATCATCGACCGGGTGGAGGTATATCACTGTAATGAAGATTGAGTACAATTTATCGTACGTTGATTGGATGCATGTACTTCGTGAAATGTGTTCAGAATAGGGTCTAAACATATTTATCTGTGATATTGTAATCTTGGGAACCAATAAAAAGCCCAAGAACACCCCCCACCCACCTACCCACAAACACACACAAAAAAAAACCCCCAAAACAAAAAACAACAACCCAAGAACAAACCAAAAACCGACACCCCCCTAAAACAACAACTGTTATACTGGCTCACCAGGTTGGTTGTTGTTTGAGACTGGTTCTGCATATGCATATTCATGATCCTTATGGTAGTCTGAAACGAAACAACAGCCACTATTTAAATGGATTTGAAGAAGCCTGTAAAATGGTTGTGCCCATGTCCGGAATCAAACCGGGTTCTTCAGTGTAACCAGCGAATGCTTTAACCACTAGCCTAACCCACCGCCCCAGTGGGAAAAGAAAGACTGTCGAGTGAGGGGACAGTCGAATAAGAAACTGGATCTTAACACATGTCCAATTATGGCATGTCACGGAATATGTTCTTATGCGTGTATAAATCAGGTCGTATAGATGTTCATGGAGGATTGGTCCTAATCAAAGACATTTATCAGTCAATGTATTCATTCATTTCAAAACGTCTCTGACATCTTTGTTGCATCTCTTGGATGAATCATAAGCTTATCCTTATTTAAACCTACCACTCGTTATATATTCCACTATTTCCTCACTTGTTTCAAGTTTTCTGTATTTCATACACATGATGATGACGGTCACAGTGAGAAGAAGGATGATCGCTGCCTCCACAGCAACTGCAGCTATGAAGTCGTCACGGATGGGGCTGTCGCTGAAACAACGAAAGGAAGTACAGGCAACAAACTCTGCGATAGTTGTCTTCCAAATGTGCTCATGCTGCACCAAGCTGGTGACTTAGACAGGTATAGTTTAGTACAATGATGGTTGCAAATGACGAACCATTCTCTTCCCACAGAGGTTACTTGTCATATCTTCCTACGGACGTTCGTAGGAAGATATGACAAGTAACCTCTGTGGGAAGAGAATGATGACGAACTGGAAAGAGGAAGTCTTTGAATTACATTTAGATGTTATACACATAAGGGTTCTACACATGCATGGATGCCAACTAAGGTCAGTTGTTTAATGCCGCACTCGGCAATATTCCAGCTATATGGCGGCGTCCTGTAAATAAGCGAGTTTGGACCTGACAATCCAGTGATCAACAACAAGAGTAATGATCTACGCAATTGGGATACGATGACATGTGTGAACCAATTCAGCTAGCCTGACCACCCGATCACGTTGGTCGCCTTTTATGACAAACATGGGTTGCTGAAGACCATTTCTAACCTGAATCTTCACGCGTGTCAACTTATTTGTTGCTCTTTGCGGTGTAATGGACACCACAGACTTACGTAGTTTCCTGTTCTTCATACACACATCTGTCGCACTCATACTGACTGGGGCACTCGGCACTGTACGTCACTTTGGGTTCCAGACCTTCCATATTGAATGCTAGTGAGTCGCCAGTAGCTCTGCCCACCTGTGAGTGATCGTTTAAAAGGTGATCTTTAGACACATCTTGAGTGAGTGAGTGAGTGAGTTGGCTTTTACGCCGCTTTTAGCAATATTCTAGCAATATCACGGCGGGGACACCAGAAATGGGGCTTCACCAGAAATGTACCCATGTGGGGAATGGAACCCTGACCTTCTGCGTGACAAGCGAACGCTTTAACCACTGGGCTACCCCATCGCCCCTTTCACATCTTGAAACATAGATAACACAAAACACTGTAACAAGCATTACTGAATTATACTCTAGGGGGTTGATGTCAAGCAGTCAGGGTTTGGCAGAATCATGGTAAATATGACTGACGCCGCTTAAATTCCAGCAATATTCCAGCAATATCACGGCGGGGACATCAGAAATAGTCTTCACACATTGTACCCCTGTGGGGAATCGAACATTGGTCTTCGGCGTGACGAGTCTACTTCGCCGTCCCGACTGAAAGATAAATCCAGGAGCAAGCAATACGTGTTGAAGTGGTAATTCTTTGTCAAGCATATTTCACAACTCTCTATTTGACTGAAATGTCAATTATTGATTGTGACAGTTAAAACACAATAGCACAATTAGAATGAATTCCATATAATCAATTTCGCTTTCTGGATTATATAAAATGAAAATTCACTTCTTTGTATTCCAGGTCATTGGATCCGATGGCTCCTACTATCTGATAGATAACAAAGCCACTTGCGCCATTCCCATCCTCATCAAATACACGATGTTGTTTGCCGTCCCTGAAGACGTCCAGCTCAACATCTTTGGTGTAGCGGATCAGCTCAGTGGTTGAGTATTCTCGACACTTTGTGGCAGCCCCCCAACATACATTTAGAAGGCTGCTTCTGAAACCTCGAACCAAGGCATACAGGGCAGTGGTAGCGAATGGGACCCACGTGTCAATCTGATGGTGACTCGAGAGTAGTGAGGCAGTACATTCCTGTCTGTCCTTTTTCAGAAAACTGTCTGGGAAGTAACAGTTGGCACTTTTCTCCAAAAACGGTCTGAGCCATGGGTTTTCATCAGAAGAACTGCTGATGTTGCGAAAATACTGCTCAAAGTTTGGGTCAACTGGGAGATCCTGAGCCATGGTGAAGCTTCCTTTGAGGTTGTAGTTGCCTTTAATGACGTTGGTCCGTCTTGCCCAGCCCTCTCCAGATCCAAAGAAAATAAATTCTCCCAGTTCAATCTCTTCACTGAGAGCTTTCATCAGAGCTGGTGTAGTGTGTGATCGAGAGAATACAATCACCATTTTGGCTGCCCTAAACTGTCTCAGTTTATACACGATGCCCACATATTCTTTTGGATCAATGTCTTCTTCTACTGGTACGCTTTGGGCAACACAAACCCCTGCCTTCTTGGCCCCTTCGAGGACAGAATCCCGACCAGACTGGCCATATGCCTCATCAGTGTACAAAACTTGGATGTAGCTGGCTCCGACCTTCTT